CCCTGGGCACCAGTCAGGCTGCTGGCTGCAGTGCCCTCTGTTGGCTGATGCTCAAAGGGGCTGTACAGACCCTCGCCACCGGCATAAAACCAGCTTTTGTCTCTACTTAAAGGCATCTGTTGTTTCAGCTACCCTAGCAGTCTCGTAGTGAAAACTCAGGTTGTACAAGTAAAATAAATCGCCCTATGCTGGTATGGCTTATAGAAAATTTTCACATTACTACTGCAGCAGAAGCGTGGTTTTTTTCTCCTCTGCACCCATATCCACCACACAAAAGCCCATGCCCATGGCACTGTACCAGCAAGTCACAGCCTTCACCAGCACAACTACCCAAAAAGTATAGAGCAGGCCAAAGAGGACCTGCTGGTGACAAATTCAAACTTCCTCAAACTTCACAAGTATTTGATTTTGGCTTATATTTGTCTTTTTTTTTCTAAGACCAATATATTAAAACTGGTGTCAATTTATATCATTCACTGGTTAGCAATAGACTATATGTAACTGATAACACATCAGACCTGGATTATGAGCAATTTTCCTTTTTATGCAACTGTGTTTCTCCTATCTGAGTCAGGAGATCCAGGTTTCAATAAAGACATCAGATTTTTAGTCAATCTACAAGTCATTATCATGCCAGATTCTCCATCCTTCAAACTTCCAGCATGTTCTGATCTCATACTCACTTGTGCAGTCCTTTCAATCTCTCTTCACATTTTTGTTTCTTCCATTGTGTTAGCAGTCTTAGTGCACCCATCTGAAAGAAAAGATACAACGTGCCCCATTACATCCTATTAACAAACACCCTGTGACTTGCAGAGGAAAAGGTTCACACATGAAATTTATGATAAACAGTGATTACATGACACTAACTGGCTACATGGGTTTAGTTACAAATAATCCAATAACCCTATAAATACATCATTTTTCAGTAGATGGCTTAGATATAGAGTCAGGAAAAAATGTTTTCCTATATTTTAGATAACAAAAATATCACTTGCTAGAAAGCAAATCATAATTGAAATCTTTCTTTTCACACAGATAACTATTTAAGGAGCTTGGGCGTAAACCAACAAACAGAATGAATTTTTTGTTTGTTTTTTTAACAGGCACAAGAGGAGCTATAAGTCTTTTAAAGGCCAGAAAGAGTGGTTTTACTTTTATGTAATTTGAACAAATGGGCACAGTGGTCTACATAATTGAAAATTCAATCCAAAAGGAATGTTAACAGAGGAAAATAGTTTGCCATGTTACAATTGCCTTTGTTTCTCTAACAGCTTTAAAAATAACACACATCATTTAGGAAAAAACCCTTCTGTGTGTATATATGTATTTAAGAATAGGAATTATATTTTCCCTTTCAACTGAGGAGTCGATAACTGTTGTTGTCAAAAAGGCAAACAACAAAACCCCCTGAAATCCACAGACAGGCAGCACCATCTGCTGGATTAGCACGTCTGTCAAACATTTAGGCACTTGCAGAATGTGTTACCACAGGCAGAAGGGAAAAGCCATACAAACAAAAGCGTATCGTGGAGATTTGTTCAGTCAGGATCAGGCAAGAGAAATCAAGGGGTGTGGAATTTCCATGAAAATTGTGAATTAATACTCTTTACTCACGTAACACTTAATAATTTTCAGGCCCTATGTATAAATACTGTACTCACTAAAACATATGAACAGAACACTTAGTATAAAAATTCAAAAGTTCAGTAGGTGTTTTAAATAACTGCATCAAGATTGACTCAGTTTGGTTTCTTGCATGTATGCATTATGGTACCTGATTATAAATTACCATTTTTTCACCGGGTGCCTGCCTTGCTTAGTGAATAGGACTGTTCACCTAACAACAAACAACGATCCGATAATTTGCTTCCTTCTTAGAATGCACGATGTGGTCTCGTGTTATTTAATGCACAAGCTCTGCTTGGATAACATGAGATTATCAGGTGCTCGTCACTGCAATGCCACATGGCATTACAGATGTTAATTTAAAATCCCAGCAAAGTGAGTTGCATTGATCTCTCACATACAGCGAGTAAAAGGAGGTTCTCATTTTGGGTAGGGAAGGAAGGGGCCCCTCATATGCACACAGTGATGTGCCATTGTAGTCTCTGCTGTATTTCTAGTAGCTTGTAGTGTCTTTGGAATTCAACCTCTTCGTTCAGTCAGGTCACCTAACTGCACTCTGCAATACCTAGCTCTTGGCACGCTACCCTCCAGCGGGTCAAAAAGCACAGTACTCAGCAGGCAGCCCTTTCACCCGGCGCCTTCCAAACAGCTGGAGCTTCCAGTGGGTCACCCCTGCACGGATCCCTTTTGTGCTTATCCCCATTTCCGATGCAGTGCCAAGAGCGGCTGGGCCTAAGAATTCATTCTGAAAGGCCAGTTGTCTACACACATCAGTCTTACAGATGCCTCCTCCACATATACCAGAATCAAGAATCCATATATCTTAAGCAGTCTGATTTTTCTGCTTATAGAAATTTCCCTTGCTCTTAATGGCCATATCTCTCACCTACCTTTTATCTTCCTGCAGATGACCATCTTTGTTTTGTCCACACTGGTAATGTAGGTCAAGTCATTCCACATTCCTCTGGAAGACACTAACTGTGCTCTGCACGTCATTCTCCACATCAGACGGACATCGTCACTGAGCTGCAGGCTGTAAAAGCGTATGGCAAGGAGATCAAAACAGAGGACCTCGGCCATCACATCTTCATATGTCCCAGAGGGCAAACAGGAAGGTGACAAGAGGCTGCTTGCTGCCAATTTCTGTCTCAAGCCACTACATTTTCCTGCTGTTTACCAGGACTGCCAAGCTTGCTCCTTCAAAAATACCATTCAGCACATCTTAGCAACATCCACAGCCCACCGTGCCACGTAAGACAAGAGGCAGAAAAGATCTTCCTCGTGACCTCTGTGTTTGTTCCACAGGTGGCTGGAGGCACTGAACCCTGCACCGTTCCTCTATTTTTAAGAAACTAGGTTGCCTCCTCACATTGTTCTTTTTTCTTTCAATGCTTTTAAGAATAACTCAGGACTTTTCTCAGGGTGATGATCAGTGGAGTGACCAACAACTGAAGACCAGTAATAACCTGCACAATACCACAAGCTCCTCAGCAGGCCTGACTTCCACTGTTCTTCAGCAATCTTTTGTTCTCTGAGAATATTATTCCATAACATATGCAGACATCTAGCAAAATCAATGTCTCCTGCTACGGTCAGTGTTGCCACGACACCATAGGCCCATGTTTTATAACAAGCCTCACTGCAAACTCCTCGCTCCTCCTAATCACCTCCCAACCATTTGTCAGTGCTTATTGCTGTTTTGCTCAGGCACTTTTTAATCATGCTTTGATTAATTCATTTAATGTCTTTTTGGACATTCCAAGCAGACAACAGTCACCAATAGAGGGTTTCTGCAGCCAGACCACGCTTCCTGCAAAGCCTGGTGCGCCTTTCTCCATCCATGAATGATGGAACTCAGTAGCACTGGATGATTTGCAACCCAGACACACAGGTGGGTTCAACAAGGTAACAGCCAAGTTTATAAAGGATATGGCACGAGCATTTATGGTCACCTGAATGCAATCGCTGGCTCAGGAAACACACCTGCTGGTCGTTGGGAGGTAACCCAGAGGCCTGTTCAGAAACAAGACGCGCACCCT